TGAGACAGAGCACAATTAAGTATCAATTCTATAAATAAGAAAGTAATACTGCTGTTTATAAATTTCAGTAATGTCCAGAGTTCAGATATCTAGAACCTGCTTATAAAGGTTTTTCTGTGTATTGTAATGAACCAACATTAATCCCAGGAGTTATGGAACCCGAGACAGGTTACAGTCAGTTACATAAACAGATAAACATTCAGTGAGATAAGAACATGAATCAGTTCTAAACATAAAATATACTAGAGACAGACAGAGGGGGAAAATCAGTCATGTAAACCTCCTCATCCAAACTCAGAAGGGCGTTCAACAAGTGGAGGGGCATCGAGTACAGGAGACAGGCTGTCCTAACCAATGAGCTTATACATTAAACACTGAATTAGTGAAACAGCTCCATGATGTTCTGCAGCTGCAGTAGGAGTGGACTAAACAACAACATATATCAGTTAAATTGTTAATGTTATTCATGTTTTAAAAAATACATTTGATTAAACAGAAATTCATTTGTCAACTGTAGCTATTTATTTTATTTTACAATACGTTAGGAGGAAACAGGAGGACAAACGGAGGCCAACAGAACGAGACAGATTGTAACTGTCTCAAGGACATGTCTAATTGAAATGTTTATTTTGTATATGTGTAAGTTCAACAAACGTTCAGTTCATACAGCCATTTAAAAAAGGAAAACACGTGACGTAAGATGTTATATATATATATATATATATATATATATATATATATGTTCATAAAAAATGTGTCTTAAAATGTAATTTTAAATAATGTCAAATGTCAAGTAGCCTAACAACAGAGTAATGGGAAATGGGTCACATGACCAGAGTTAAGATAAGGGCATAACCATGGCATTATGGGTAAGAGACAATGTGGATGCAGAGGAACAACATACAGCCCCAAACAACCGTACTGTGCACTTGGTTCAAGAGGCCTTCCATTTGTTTACTTTTGTGTCTGGTACTTGTTGGTGTGCTTTACATGGACAATACTTCATACTACTTTCTGTTTGGTTATATTATGTGATTTCTTTGCACTTTGCTTGTGCTAACGTGTTTGGGCCTGTGTATCAGTGGACACTAGCTTGAGAGGCCTTAAAGTGAATGTGAGATTAAGGTTTAAGCTCTGTGTCTTTTATTTTCTTGTAGTTTTCACGGTGTCTGCTGACGAAGGAGAGAGTCAGATAAAATAAATCTTCAAAAGACATCTGTATGATGCGTGGCCATTGTTTCTTGGGACCAGTAGCTACACAGATTTACGACTTAAAAAATAAGGTTTTCCATGAGGATTAAACACAAAACCCTGCACTCTGAGCTAACCAATGATATCAAATTGAAATTATTATTAAGAAACGTTTGCGCCAACCACTGTGTTAAACTTCTATTTTGTCATCTTGAGATCTTGAGAAAATGATCCTGTTATCACGGGAAAACAGAGTTAATCGATGGCTGCTTAGGGCTTCCATAAATTTCAGCTCTATTCAGAGCTCACAGGTGTAATTTCCTTCTCCTCAGACAGAAAAACCCATTTGGTTGCAATAAACATCAAGGAAACGTTTGGTCCACTGATCCCTTCCTAACTAACATCTTATATTTTCTGGTGGAACTCTGACTCTTTAGGCATTACATGATAGGACTTCATCAACTCTGCACACTTTACTGAAAAGCTTTCTGCTGACCTGATGGATAAAAACCCGTCACACAGACATAACTGGAAGTCTGCTCATATGAAGACAGAACTGAAAAGCCACAAGCTAAATGGCCTGTTGTAATGTGAGCTGCAGGAAAGATTTCTATCAGCTTTCAGATTTAGATTTGATGTGCAAGTTAACAGGCTAAGGAATGTCTCGTCTTATAAACCAGCTTCAGTAATTTCACACTGTATACAATATTGCTCAATAGGCCTGAAGAGTACGGAAGACTTGTATCTGTTCCAGTTCCACATGAGTGTGTCTTGTAATTTACCGTCAAATTCACAAACAGGAAGCTGCTGTTTGGAGTTAATTTGGTTTCAGTATTATTTGTGTGAACAGATCAGCAAAATGTGTGTTAATGTGTTTTTTGGAGCTCAACAAACCTTATCCCAAAGTTTAGTTCGAAGTTGATGATTATCCACTCTACAGTGAGAAAATGACTACACAAAAATTGATTAAACATGCCAAATTAAACCTGGACCCCAAAGGACTAGTTCTATAGCTCTAAGACACGGCATCTGTTCAAGATTTGAGATTAAGACCTCGTCCACACTGCTGCGTTTTGCACCTCCCGTCCAGACTAAAACGGCGAAAACGAAGACTTAAAACTCCAGGTAGCGTTTCAGTGCGGGTGGGCAAAAACGGAGGAAATGATGACGCAGATGCTCACGTTCGGCTCTCTGATTGGGTCTTACCAGTCATGCAAAGCAGAAACACGACGCTACTGACAGAGTTTTGATTTGGTATTTTTATTAAAATATTTTGTTCCGTGCAAATAACCCTTACAGCCTACGCTTGTACCGTGCATGTCGCGTTTACTTTGCGACGACTCCCAGTCTGTTTTCCACCGCCTCCGCCACTTTTAACTCCCATGTTACATTCAGTAACAGTCCCAGCTCGTTACTGGTCCATGCTAAATAAACCTGGTGTGGTTCTTCATCTGTAGTACTTTATTGTTTCGCCAAATCGTCTGTAACTACAGAACAGACCATCTGCTTCATGTTTACATCACATGCCCAGTGTACATGAATGGCCACTAGATGTGCGTTTTCAGTCGTTTTAATATAGACGGAGATCAACTTTGATACGCAGCTAAAACACTGGTGTGGACGGAGATTGAATTTGTTTTAAAACTCTGTTTTTAAACAAAAATGGAGTTGTGTGGATGGAGCCTTAGAGGGGGATAGCAGCTCATCATTATTGTTTGAAATGGTTTGCAGAGATGCTATCTGTTCTGCTCTAAAACAGTAATGTTATGTTATGTCAATTGGCAGATGAAACAATTTTGGTGTTACAGACTATTAGCCAGTTCTCTAAGGCCTCGGGCTTACAGCTACACTTGAATCTAGCTAAATGTGACATGATTGTCCCCTGCAGCCACAAATATAAAGTTTGAAAAGGAGGTTAAATATTTGTAGAATTGTCATTTGTAAGGATAGAACAACAATATAATGAATATATGGATATAAAAAAATATAAAACAACTTCACACCACATAAACACCAGTGTGGAAGAACAGAAACATGTTGCTTAAATCTGTGTCCATGGAGGACTGGAGATCTAAAGGGGTTTGGGGCTGTTGCTCCTTTTATGGATGAGAATTTAAAAAATGTTACAGCATGAAAAGTTTAGTACAAAATTTGAACTCTAATATTCTGTCAAATACTATGATAGAGTGATCAAAACTATACCAATCCCTTTCAGATCATTGATTAAAGAAAACATTCTGTACTCAGAGGCTCCTCCTGGGCTGAGGCGGCTTTGCATGGATGGAATTGACTCTTGTGTTGATAAATGTACCAACAGAGTTCTTAGAAACATTTTGCAGAAGGAACGTTACCCTAACCCAGTAAGAAGGACGTGTGAGACTTGACTGTAAATGTACTAGTAAAGTTCTCACACGATAAAGCAATAACATTATTGTTAAAGTGACTTATTGAGGCAGTAATACGCCTAGAAGCGTCTAAACTGACGTACATCCACATGGAGCAGAAGAAGAAGAAAGATGAAGAAAAACAATATATTATATAATATATTTTTTCCCCCAATCAATTTATTTGCATCCTCAGTAAACAAACAGGCATCATTGTAACGTTACATAGACCTAACATTACAACTAAGCAGCAAGAAACAGAAAATAAATAAAAAAATAAAAACTAAGTAAAATAATCAATAAAAATATATAAATTAATAAAAATAAAATAAATTAAAGGGATTTAATCAAAATACAATGAAAGTAACTCAGAGAATCTTAAGGCACTTTTCCAGTATTTTCAATGACCGAAACAAAATCTTCAAATTATTAATAAATGGATTAAAACTTGGTGTAGCTTTAAAAAATCTACACTTATGAATATAACATTTTGCTATGATGAAGATACTATTACACAAGAACTCAGTATTTTTGTTTTCCATAAAACAACCAAAGTTCACATTATGGAAATCAAACACAGGTATTACATTCTTTGTACCTAACCAATCATATATTCTGTCACACAACAATTTAATAACATGACAGCTGTAGAAATGCTCTTGGTGGGAACTGTTGGGCTTCTGTAAATATCATCACAGAGTACGGTCTAGACCTGCTTTTATGAAAAGTGCTGTGAGATAACTGTTGTTGTGATTTGGCGCTATATAAATAAAACTGAATTGAATAGAAAAGATGTTGCTGAGATTCGATATCAGTCTGACAAAATGTACATACATTACAATCTAAATTAAATCTTACTCTTAAGAATTCATTACATGGATAAATATCATTAATTGTTTTGAACCTCTTTCATTTTAGGAAACAACGGAAATGATAAAAAATCTAGTTCAAACCTTAACAGTGTCAACTCTTGAAAGTCTTTCAGACAAAACCTTTGTTTTCACAGGAAGAGGAAAACATTCTTTTGTCATTAATGACCTCAAATTTTTTTTTATCACATTTACTATCTAAGAAATTGTACTTATCAACAAAGAGATTTGCAGATGTAGGAATCACAGCAGAGTATTGTAACATTCCTTTTATCTGGTTTATCAAAGCCTTGGGAATGGCATTGACTACTAGAGAATATTGTCTAAATGAGCAATCCAAATTAAATTTTGTTTTAAAATCATCATGACCTAACATATTCCCATATTCATCCATTAAATGTAGTATAGCCCAAACTCCTTTTTCCATCCAATCTATATAAAATAATATTTTCCTCTTACATAAGTACCTGTCGTTCCATATTTTAGCTTTATGAGGGGAGAAGCGTATTATTACTGTTTTATTTTGGAAATGTTTTGTGCGGAAATGTGTGCAACAATGAAATCGGTCACTTCCGGCGAGCCAGAAGACGTCACATGTTTTGGTTTTTGGGGAGATCAGAAGCTCAAACACTCAGAAACTGCATCTTTAAACCTCACAGGCATGTTGGTAGTTATAGTTTTCCCGTGTTAGTTTTCATTAGACCTGTTTTATATCTATCTATCCATCTATATATCTATATCTATATCTATATATCCGCGAAGTAACGCAACTAACTTATCTGGCGCGTCCGACGTGCATAATGTGAACCGTTTCAACAGGAGTACAGGGTGAGCTAACCTGACGTGTGTTGCCTCTGCACGTTATTGATCTCTGGGTTTCTCTCCTCAGCGGGAGGCTCAGATGGGAGTTGACCAGACTGAACCGGAGGTGCCGGCGGAGGCGGTGGGCAGGCGGGTGTCCTGCGGCGGGGAGCGGGCCACGGTGCGGTACGTGGGCCCGGTGCCGCCGACAGCAGGTAAAAATAATAACAACAACAATACCCGGGGTGTCAGGTGGACGATTCACAGTCCGAACTGGTTGTGAAGTCAATGTAAATATCTTAAGACATGTTTATAAATAAAGCAGCGATAAAAGGCTCGTTTTTTAAATGGAGTTTGGCAGAAGGTGTCTTCCCCACAAGGTTTAGTCAGTCACGCCCATTGAAATAAACAAGAGATTTAGCAAAACAGCCCTGCTAGCATCAGAGCATAACTGTAATGTTAGGCCACTGATTCTTGAGAATTTCAATAAAACAGCTTTTACTTTTGAAAAGAATTAAAATGTTGTATTAAGAAATCTACATTTATGAGTTTATTGTACAAGATCTCACCAATCAAACAATATTTTGGTGCAACCTCCTGATTTACAATTCTTTCATAAAATATGTGTTTTGCCTGTCTTTACTTAGTTTTTGTCAACATCTACAGACACAATAAAAAGCCAGTTAATCTTATTTATTTAGTCTTATAAGGATTTCTACACCATAGGTACATATATTCAATTCAATTCAGTTTTATTTATATAGCGCCAAATCACAACAACAGTTATCTCACAGTGCTTTTCATAAAAGAGCAGGTCTAGACCGTACTCTGTGATGTTATTTACAGAAGCCGAACAGTTCCCACCAAGAGCAGCACTAGGAGACAGAGGCAAGGAAAAACTTACTTTTAAGAGGCAGAAACCTCGAGCAGAACCATGGCTCAGGGTGGGCGGCCATCTGCCTCGACCGGTTGGGGTGAAGGAGAGAGAGAGAGAGAGAGAGAGAGAGTTGTTATATATATATATGTTATTAAATGTTGAATGTTAACTTTTGTTCACTTTTTATACTCTCTTAAAAACCTATGCATTATGTGACTTTCATCATTAGTGTTGAAGAAGATGTATAGTATAAATAGAGGTCAATGAAACATGCTTTGTGTGTTCAGGGCTGTGGCTCGGCGTCGAGTGGGATAACCCAGAGAGAGGCAAACACGACGGCAGCCACGACGGACTTCAGTATTTTACCTGCAGGTAATTACCACTTTGATGCCACATGCTGAAATTTGACAAATTATTATCCACTTTAGGGGCGTAATGAATATCCAAATCCACAGTTCGGTTAATATCTGGGGGGTTTTCCCCTGTTTTTGCTGGGAGGAGGAACATTATTATTATTATCATCCACCCTGGGTTAATAAAACTAGTCTAACTTGCAGGCATGATCTCTCAATCATGATTGTGTTAAAATAGTCACATGTCACACGTGACAGTTGGAAGACAATAAAATAGATGTGTTGTATAATTTTTACAAAAAATAGGCCGTCACAACTTTAACTACAGTGTTTTCGACATGTACTTTACTGTCCAGGTATATTAACAGTTGCCAAAGTATACTTGGCGACACATTTTAGCATTTTGCAGAGACACATAGAGAGAGATGTTATCACGTTACATGACAATGACACGGTGCAAATCTTACAAGCACGGAGCGACAGTGAACGCACCGCTGCAGATGTACCAGTTGGTTTGGTCTGTGGGGTTTGTGGCATTGCGCTGACTGCCATTGTGACACTCCGTCGGTTTGTGTTTGTTGTTGATCCCAGATTTCAAACCATCATGTTAAAATATTTCTTCTCAGCTCCACCTCAGTGATCAGCATCTTGATCTCGCACTCAGTAAAGTTTCTCTTTTTCTAGGTGCTAAGCTAGGTGTGTGCTATGTTGCAGGTCTCGGTTTCAGAACCGTTACGGCTCTAATCCACACGCAGACGTTCCCGTGTAGTTAATTATCAAAGCTTTTCATTGGCAGAAGGTGAGGACCCTCTGGAGGGTTCCTGTGAGGATGTAAAGATTTACTTAAAGCTCAGTGGGTTTTAAAACAATTTAATTTCTCCCCAAATATGTGAATTTCTGTGTTTATATGTAGTCTGATAACAAATGACGTGCTTGTTTGTGATATTTGGTAGATTCAACAAATAGAATAAGAATCACTCCACAGTGAAAACAATCCTTTCATTTATGATTTAACTTAAAAATGTGATCATCTGAAGTGAGTAACTGTTTCCTCTCCACTGCTTCAGACACCCTAAAGGAGGCTCTTTCGTCCGTCCAGCGAAGGCGAGCTTTGGCGTGGACTTCCTAACCGCCGTGCAGCAGGTGTACCAGGTGGACTCGGAGGAGGTGCTGAGGGAGGAGATCTCCATCTCCTCCAAGAAGCTCAAGTGGGGGAATATCAAGGAGCGCAGGTACGACGCTCATCACCATCTCCGTCAAATAGGTAGTAAACAAATATTTTCCTCATTAATATGCTCTGACTTAATGACACTAATCCATTTTCCAGCACATTGATAAGAGTCAGATGGATTATTTTGGTTTTATTGTGATAATATACCAAATAGCCAGACATTTACAGAACGGTTTATAAAGTGCTGTTTATAAAGTCTATAAAATGTCAAGAAACTGTGAAAAATGACCGTCACAATTTTCCAGAGCACAAAGTGACGTATTTAAACAGTCCAAAACCCAAAGACTCTTCATTCACTATCATGAAATCCTCATATTTAAGAAGATGAAGCAAATATTTCATATTTTGCTTAAAAAAATTACTGAAACGATGAATCAATCTTATTAATATTATTATCAATTCGGGTTCGGTTGTACTAAAGGACACTGTAATGAGTTGGCTGTTCATTATTCCTTTTAGTACATTTTGGTTTAAGTCAGTTTTTCTAGTTAATATCACAGTTAATTTTGTCTGGTTCCAAAAACCCGAGATGCCAAACTCCAGGTTTCAAAACGGCGGGCCACAAGCCAACAGGAGATGTCGCCGCGGCTACGTCCACTTCTTTATACCGTCTGTGGTTGAGACGCCTCTTATTATAATCCTGGCTTTAATGTGAGAGTTACTGTACATCAGGGCAAAGACTCTGTAAGTTACAGATGAATCATGTTCTGCCTCTGGATTCACAGCTGTGGAGAGAGCGAAGTATCACTGACGAGGAGGTAACATTATTAAACAGGAGAGGCTGTGAGGATCTATTTCCTTTGACTGATGACACTGTGCTTCTTTTCCTTTTGTCTCCACAGTTTTGAGAGTCTTCCAACAGTGTTGCTGAGCCGCTCTGAAGTAAACGGGCCTGGAGCCGACGGAGAAATCAGGAAAACAACGCCGAGTATCTTTTTGCAGAGTTCTTACTTCTTGTCATTGAGGTGATGTGAATGTTGGTGTTCCTGAGGATATTTTTAGTTTTCAGGCCTAAAGTCTGTCTTGATGCCGAAAAAACACGTTCAAGCTTCTAAATTGTGAGGATTTGTTGGTCGGACAAACAAACAAAATAACTGTGACTGTAACATTTTGAGAAAATGTGAATGAATGCTTCTTTCTATCCACTGCTGCTGTGAACACAGTGCAAAGCTAATTGGTTGATGGAGATTAAAGCTTATGGAGCTGATTCTCCAGTTGCTGCTGTTAAACCATCGCAGAAGAAGAAGGGGACACAGCGATGTGACGTCAGAGCTTTTTTTTGTGCATAAAGACAGGTGGATGGAAACACACAGAGTGAAGGGGGAAGAAAATATTTCAAGACATACTTTAAAATAAGGATTGAACAATTAACCAAGAAAATAATTGGCAGATGTATGAATAATTATAATTACTATTAGTTGAAGCTCGTGTCAGTAGTTCATCGTGTCCTGTCAACATGCTGATTCTCAAAACTCATCTGCGGTGGACAATCGGCTGTCTGGTGTGTGAGGACTTCTAGTCTACGGGGAAATTACTCAGTGTTGGTTTAAATCATTTGAAGACGGGTTCCTCTGCCAGGAGGTATTTTCAATGATTGTCAGAGCTGGACGATGATTGTCAGTGATTGTCGGAGCTTGTCGGTGATTGATATTGATTGTCGGTGATTGATATTGATTGTCGGTGATTGATTTGATTGTCGGTGATTGATATTGATTGTCGGTGATTGATATTGATTGTTGGAGCTTGTCGGTGATTATTGGAGCTCGACAGTGATTGTATGAGCTTGTTGGATATCGTCAGAGCTTGACGGTGATTATTGGAGCTCGTCGGTGATTGTTTTGATTGACGGTGATTGTATGAGCTTGAAGGTGATTATTGGAGCTTGTCGGTGATTGTCGGTGATTGTATGAGCTTGAAGGTGATTATTGGAGCTTGACAGTGATTGTTTTGATTGACGGTGATTGTCGGTGATTGTCTGAGCTTGAAGGTGATTATTGGAGCTTGTCGGTGATTGTTTTGATTGACGGTGATTGTATGAGCTTGAAGGTGATTATTGGAGCTTGTCGGTGATTGTTTTGATTGTCGGTGATTGATATTGATTGTCGGTGATTGATATTGATTGTCGGTGATTGATATTGATTGTCGGTGATTGATATTGATTGTCGGAGCTTGTCGGTGATTGATATTGATTGTCGGAGCTTGAAGGTGATTATTGGAGCTTGACAGTGATTGTTTTGATTGTCTGTGATTGTCGGAGCTTGAAGGTGATTATTGGAGCTTGTCGGTGATTGTTTTGATTGTCGGTGATTGATATTGATTGTCGGTGATTGATATTGATTGTCGGAGCTTGTCGGTGATTGATATTGATTGTCGGTGATTGATATTGATTGTCGGAGCTTGTCGGTGATTGATATTGATTGTCGGAGCTTGTCTGTGATTGATATTGATTGTCGGAGCTTGTCGGTGATTGATTTGATTGTCGGTGATTGATATTGATTGTCGGTTATTGATATTGATTGTCGGAGCTTGTCTGTGATTGTTATTGATTGTCGGTGATTGATATTGATTGTCGGTGATTGATTTTGATTGTCGGTGATTGATATTGATTGTCGGAGCTTGTCGGTGATTGATATTAATTGTCGGAGCTTGTCAGTGATTGATATTGATTGTCGGAGCTTGTCGGTGATTGATATTGATTGTCGGTGATTGATATTGATTGTCTGTGATTGATTTGATTGTCGGTGATTGATATTGATTGTCGGTGATTGTCGTAGCTTGTCGGTGATTATTGGAGCTCGACAGTGATTGTATGAGCTTGTCGGATATCGTCAGAGCTTGACGGTGACTATTGGAGCTCGTCGGTGATTGTTTTGATTGACGGTGATTGTATGAGCTTGAAGGTGATTGTCGGAGCTTGTCGGTGATTGATATTGATTGTCGGTGATTGTATGAGCTTGAAGGTGATTATTGGAGCTTGTCGGTGATTGTTTTGATTGACGGTGATTGTATGAGCTTGAAGGTGATTATTGGAGCTTGTCGGTGATTGTTTTGATTGTCGGTGATTGTCGGAGCTTGAAGGTGATTATTGGAGCTTGACAGTGATTGTTTTGATTGACGGTGATTGCCGGTGATTGTCGGAGCTTGAAGGTGATTATTGGAGCTTGTCGGTGATTGTCGGTGATTGTATGAGCTTGAAGGTGATTATTGGAGCTTGTCGGTGATTGATATTGATTGACGGTGATTGTATGAGCTTGAAGGTGATTATTGGAGCTTGTCGGTGATTGTTTTGATTGACGGTGATTGTATGAGCTTGAAGGTGATTATTGGAGCTTGTCGGTGATTGTTTTGATTGTCGGTGATTGTCGGAGCTTGAAGGTGATTATTGGAGCTTGACAGTGATTGTTTTGATTGACGGTGATTGCCGGTGATTGTCGGAGCTTGAAGGTGATTATTGGAGCTTGTCGGTGATTGTCGGTGATTGTATGAGCTTGAAGGTGATTATTGGAGCTTGTCGGTGATTGTTTTGATTGACGGTGATTGTCGGTGATTGTATGAGCTTGAAGGTGATTATTGGAGCTTGTCGGTGATTGTTTTGATTGTCGGTGATTGTCGGAGCTTGAAGGTGATTATTGGAGCTTGACAGTGATTGTTTTGATTGCCGGTGATTGTCGGAGCTTGAAGGTGATTATTGGAGCTTGTCGGTGATTGTTTTGATTGTCGGTGATTGATATTGATTGTCGGTGATTGATATTGATTGTCGGAGCTTGTCGGTGATTGATATTGATTGTCGGTGATTGATATTGATTGTCGGAGCTTGAAGGTGATTATTGGAGCTTGACGGTGATTGTTTTGATTGTCGTGATTGTCGGAGCTTGAAGGTGATTATTGGAGCTTGTCGGTGATTGTTTTGATTGTCGGTGATTGATATTGATTATCGGAGCTTGTCGGTGATTGATATTGATTGTCGGTGATTGATATTGATTGTCGGTGATTGATATTGATTATCGGAGCTTGTCGGTGATTGATATTGATTATCGGAGCTTGTCGGTGATTGATATTGATTGTCGGAGCTTGTCGGTGATTGATATTGATTATCGGAGCTTGTCGGTGATTGATATTGATTGTCGGAGCTTGTCGGTGATTGATTTGATTGTCGGTGATTGATATTGATTGTCGGTTATTGATATTGATTGTTGGTGCTTGTCTGTGATTGTTATTGATTGTCGGTGATTGATATTGATTGTCGGTGATTGATATTGATTGTCGGAGCTTGTCGGTGATTGATATTGATTATCGGAGCTTGTCGGTGATTGATATTGATTGTCGGAGCTTGTCGGTGATTGATTTGATTGTCGGTGATTGATATTGATTGTCGGTGATTGATATTGATTGTTGGAGCTTGTCTGTGATTGTTATTGATTGTCGGTGATTGATATTGATTGTCGGTGATTGATATTGATTGTCGGAGCTTGTCGGTGATTGATATTGATTGTCGGAGCTTGTCGGTGATTGATATTGATTGTCGGTGATTGATATTGATTGTCGGAGCTTGTCGGTGATTGATATTGATTGTCGGTGATTGATATTGATTGTCGGAGCTTGTCAGTGATTGATATTGATTGTCGGTGATTGATATTGATTGTCGGAGCTTTCTGTGATTGTTATTGATTGTCGGTGATTGATATTGATTGTCGGTGATTGATATTGATTGTCGGTGATTGATTTTGATTGTCGGAGCTTGTCAGTGATTGATATTGATTGTCGGAGCTTGTCAGTGATTGATATTGATTGTCGGTGATTGATATTGATTGTCGGAGCTTGTCAGTGATTGATATTGATTGTCGGTGATTGATATTGATTGTCGGAGCTTGTCGGTGATTGATATTGATTGTCGGTGATTGATATTGATTGTCGGAGCTTTCTGTGATTGTTATTGATTGTCGGTGATTGATATTGATTGTCGGTGATTGTTATTGATTGTCGGTGATTGATATTGATTGTCGGTGATTGATATTGATTGTCGGTGATTGATATTGATTGTCGGAGCTTGTCAGTGATTGATATTGATTGTCGGAGCTTGTCGGTGATTGATATTGATTGTCGGTGATTGATATTGATTGTCGGAGCTTGTCAGTGATTGATATTGATTGTCGGTGATTGATATTGATTGTCGGAACTTTCTGTGATTGTTATTGATTGTCGGTGATTGATATTGATTGTCGGTGATTGATATTGATTGTCGGTGATTGATTTGATTGTCGGAGCTTGTCAGTGATTGATATTGATTGTCGGAGCTTGTCAGTGATTGATATTGATTGTCGGTGATTGATATTGATTGTCGGAGCTTGTCAGTGATTGATATTGATTGTCGGTGATTGATATTGATTGTCGGAGCTTGTCGGTGATTGATATTGATTGTCGGTGATTGATATTGATTGTCGGAGCTTTCTGTGATTGTTATTGATTGTCGGTGATTGATATTGATTGTCGGTGATTGTTATTGATTGTCGGTGATTGATATTGATTGTCGGTGATTGATATTGATTGTCGGTGATTGATATTGATTGTCGGAGCTTGTCAGTGATTGATATTGATTGTCGGAGCTTGTCGGTGATTGATATTGATTGTCGGTGATTGATATTGATTGTCGGAGCTTGTCAGTGATTGATATTGATTGTCGGAGCTTTCTGTGATTGTTATTGATTGTCGGTGATTGATATTGATTGTCGGTGATTGATATTGATTGTCGGTGATTGATATTGATTGTCGGTGATTGATTTTGATTGTCGGTGATTGATATTGATTGTCGGAGCTTGTCGGTGATTGATATTGATTGTTGGTGATTGATATTGATTGTCGGTTATTGATATTGATTGTCGGAGCTTGTCGGTGATTGATATTGATTGTCGGTGATTGATATTGATTGTCGGAGCTTTCTGTGATTGTTATTGATTATCGGTGATTGATATTGATTGTCGGTGATTGATATTGATTGTCGGAGCTTGTCGGTGATTGATATTGATTGTCGGTGATTGATATTGATTGTCGGAGCTTTCTGTGATTGTTATTGATTGTCGGTGATTGATATTGATTGTCGGTGATTGATATTGATTGTCGGTGATTGATATTGATTGTCGGTGATTGTCTGAGCTTGAAGGTGATTATTGGAGCTCGTCGGTGATTATTGGAGCTCATCTGTGATTGTCTGAGCTTGTCGGTGATTGTCAGAGCTTGAAGGTGATTATTGGAGCTCGACAGTGATTGTATGAGCTTGTCGGATATCGTCGGAGCTTGACGGTGATTATTGGAGCTCGTCGGTGATTGTCGGTGATTGTCGGAGCTTGAAGGTGATTATTGGAGCTCGTCGGTGATTGTCGGAGCTTGAAGGTGATTATTGGAGCTCGACAGTGATTGTATGAGCTTGTCGGATATCGTCGGAGCTTGACGGTGATTATTGGAGCTCGTTGGTGATTGTCGGAGCTTGAAGGTGATTATTGGAGCTTGACAGTGATTGTATGAGCTTGTCGGTGATCGTCGGAGCTTGAAGGTGATTATTGGAGCTTGTCGGTGATTGTTTTGATTGACGGTGATTGTATGAGCTTGTCGGTGATTGTTTTGATTGACGGTGATTGTATGAGCTTGTCGGTGATTGTTTTGATTGACGGTGATTGTATGAGCTTGTCGGTGATTGTTTTGATTGACGGTGATTGTATGAGCTTGTCGGTGATTGTTTTGATTGACGGTGATTGTATGAGCTTGTCGGTGATTGTTTTGATTGACACTGACTTGTAGGTGATTTTCGGAGCTTGTCGCTCATCTATGGTGATTGTATGTGATTGACTGTGATGGTCGTGTCTGTGTGAATGTCAGCGTGCTCAGTGAGTGACTCCTTCACAGCAGTGATCAGACGTGCAGTGGCTGGACCTGAGTGGGACTCTGCTGTCCAGCTGGGAGGACGTGGCTGCCGTCACCCAGCAGCTGGACAAACTGGAGGGACTTCAGCTCAGGTACAGAGGACAGCTGTGTGTGTTCATTACTCATGTTGTGAGGACAAACATCAGTTTGCACAGTCACATTGTGATCCCCATAACGTAAATCATTAGGGTGAAGACTTGGTTTAAGGTTAGTCCAGGAAATAGATATGTCATTGTAATGTCCTCTGAGGTGATTGAAAGAATTCTCTCCTTCCAATGGACTCTTCATCTTGTCTTATTTTTCAGCAACAACAGACTGTGTTTGCCGTCCGACCCGTCGGCTCACTGCCAGGCGTTCTGCAGCCTCAAAGTCCTTGCCCTCAATAGCTGCGACCTCACCTGGCCTCAGGTACACCTTTCTCTATCAGTCTGTGCTCACCTCTTCATCACCAGGGTCAGTTTAGAAATGCTTACAGTTACTGTAGTTATCTCCACTCTCAAGAGGAAACGAATGCAACGGATATTTATATCTGTATATTCTTATTGGTTCTCAAATACTTGTTTTATATATACTTGTTGTGTGTATATATGTATGTGTGTGTGTGTGTGTGTGTGTGTGTGTGTGTGTGTGTATATATACACACACACACACACAGTGGGGAGAACAAGTATTTGATACACTGCTGATTTTGCAGGTTTACTTACAAAGCATGTAGAGGTCTGTAATTTTTATCATAGGTACACTTCAACTGTGAGAGATCTAAAACAAAAATCCAGAAAATCACATTGTATGATTTTTAAATAATGAATTTGCATTTTATTTTATAAAACGTCTTCCAGTAGCTTCAACCAAGTCCAGTTGCCCTTCATTTTAACCTTCGTTGGATAACTATGACCTGGATGACTGAGAATCTTCATAGACATATTAAACATATTAAAATATTATTTATAATTTCTGAATATAAGTGTTTATTTATTTACTACAATAAGTTTTCCATCACATTTCACATAAACTATATTTTTTATATTGTCGTTTTTTATAGTCCATGAAAAATTAATTTATTTCTGTAATTTATCTTACAGAAATGATTCACATAAAACTTTAATCACTTTAGATTAAAGTATTTTCCGTGTTGATAAATGTCCAAATTTACAGTGCTAGTTTCAAATCTCTCTTCCTGTCACCTTTCAAAATAAAAGCATCGGTGAACGCCCTACTTTGTTTCCTGTTGGTTTTTAAGAAATCCTTCGTCCTGGTGTGTATATTTTATTTTTACATCACACTGATTATCTGTGGCTCTCTGCTGGACTCAGATCCTGGAATGCGCCCCCATGTGGCCACAGCTGGAGGATCTGTGCGTAGAAGAAAACAACATCACAGAGCTGCAGAGGTAACGCCGTCCTCCATGTTTGCTTCATTCTTACTTCTGATTCGTTCAGGCTTTACTCTGTGTAACGTTTCCGATGTGTTTGATGTTTTAAAGGCCCGACGGAGTCCTGCAGTCCCTTAAGAGTCTCAGTCTGTCCAGTAACCCTGTAGTGCAGGACAGTCTGATCAGGATAGCTGCTCTGCCCAGGTACAGTACCCAGCGTCTCACAGGACCGAGCGTTCAATCTAAGAGTTGAGAAAAATATTTTAATGAAGTATTTATCAGATGGAATTGTGATGAATTAATCTTCAGGTCTACGTAGTGTTTTAGTGTTCACCGACTGTGAAATGCAGTTGAAAGCTATGAAAAACAGCCAGTCGGTATTTTTAAAAGTATTTTATCACAAAAACAAATTTCTGTTTACTGTTTCTGTTACGTGCAGTTTTTAGATTGAATTGTTTACCTCATGTTTGCCAGCTGTCACTCTTCTTCTTCGTGCCTTTTGTTGGTGTCAGACTGCACGAGCCGGTAGATGAAAATATACAATCTATATGGACTTATGCAACATTTCTTTAAAAATGCTGTTAGTGGTCCCCTCTCATATGACTACAGCCATAACCAACAACTTTCTGCACATGTTGAACCGCACAGATAAAATAAGCTTTTATTGATCCCCAGAGGAGAAAGTCAGGTGTTGCAGAAAAAATAGAAATAAGAACAATTACCAACAAAACTGACACGTATGTGATCAGTACCAGGAAATATATGATTATGATTATATGTGTATATATATGATATATGATTAAGTAATGATACTTATCTTTGTCTGTTTTAATAAAGAACCATAATATAATCTATAATATATAAAAACAGTATACCATATTCTTGGGGGGGCGGCCCTTGTTGAATTTTCCTTATAAATAATTGCACATACATATGAGTATTTCTGGATTATCTAGAATTGAGTTTGTTTCTTGACCATGAAACTTTTAAACACCAATCTGAAGCTCCTGAAATAAACTCTGCGCTGTTTGGTTGCAGACTGGAGCAGCTGAGCTTGTCCAAGACCGGACTGACAGACATTCGGTTCGATGACGCCGCTCCTGGTAAAAATATGATTTAAACATTTAACCACACCCTCAAGCCAGACATCCACATCCTATCTAGCGTTTGGTCTAAAACTCCAGCCATAAAGTCTGAACCTGTTCTCTGCAGGGTCTCAGACAGCCATGTTTCCAGCACTGAAGAATCTCAACGTGGACCACAACAACATCACCGAGGTCAGTTTCTGCTCAGATACAAATACAAACACTTTCTGGAGACGTTCAGGAGAGCAGAGACACTGTGAACACCAGGCATCACTGACGGTTGCACCTTTAACCAGCAGTTGTCCATTAACTGGAAGGACGGTGGTTCGATCCCCGCTCCTCCGGTCTGCATGTCGAAGTGTCCTTGTCACTGGACCCCGGATTGCTCCCGGTGTCCATTGGTTTGCGCCTTACTCTCGTCA